GATTAGCCCCAGCACTTACGTCGATAGTGTTATTTTGCCCCCATCAAAACTCCACAGGTGGTTCTAACGGGCGATAAGTTATACGCTATACTTTACCCAGATAAGCGACCGTTAGCTGTCCAATAATTAAATTAAATTCTACTAGTTAGCACTAGGCAGCGATTGTATGACCTAGTACGTGCCTTGTGGCAGGTTACATACAGAACATTAAAGAACTGCTTGGCGATATTGATCAATCGACTGTCGTAATAATACTGTAGTCATATTGCACTGTAAAATCAAAACCATCCAAGCGAAGACATGTCGATCTCGGCAAGTGGTCAGGGGAGCACACCGAACGCGTTCGCGTTTTGAGCTCGAACCAACAATTAGCTTAGACCTGATACATAGTCCCAAAGTCAAAGCGAAACGTGCCTCGAACCTTGGGTGTAACGTTATCGAGAGTTCCAGGGGGTATTCTAGCTTCGGCTTCTAGGCTCTGACATAGACTGTTATGGTTTGAGTCAAGGTTTTCTCATTTTTCATCTGGAGATACTAGGGCTGAATCGCTAAAAATAAATATGGAAAGTAAAACTACAAAGCTGTACTCTCTGTCTCGGAATGCTCATCCTTCCTCCAATTTCGGGGCATCTTCTATTTCTGCAGATCTGGCCTGGACTTGTGGGAACGAGGCGTGAGACGCTTGGACCCGAGAACTCGGTTGTTCGCCGATGACGAGATGATCATCGTAGACGCGAACCGCCGGTGGAGATTTGGACCTTCTAAATTGGGATGATAGTGAAAAGTATAAGAGTATAGAAGTAAACTATGATCCTGCCTAGTAGTAGGCATTTGAAGCATATAGCCTAAGTTATATGTACTGTGGTACTGTGTACCTGCATGTACCGGTACACATATGTACCTGGTCACTGTCAGCACTACGTGGTGTACTTCGTGGTACTCGCAGACACTTCTAGACGAGATCGTCAGGAGTCCCGCAATACTAGCGCAATACCAGTCCCGTCTTTTGTTTCGGATCTCTCCACTGGATTTACAGTACAATACAGTATACATGCAGTGTGCAGTGACAGTAGAGTAGATGTAGCACCGAATACTACCTTAGGTATATGTACATGCACATACCATTTACTGAGACAACGTTTCAACATCATGTAAGTTCATGTAAGGGAAACACATTTCACATTCTTCAGCTTTCGGAAGTTTGAGAGTTGTTTTACCTTTCTCACTAGATTTACATGTACAGAGAGATAGGGGAACGGCACCCTCCGAGGGCGTCAGCCCCCACCGATCATCCCCTACAGGAACAGGAAGAGGAAAAGACAGGAACGAACCCGAATACGATTAGATCCTTGCTCGTGCTATCGACAGGGATGTATGTAAGAACATATGCCGAGCACATGGGTAAGTGTAATACAAAGACTTTATGGATCCCCACTGCCGAATTCCGTAGATTGCGATCGGTCTGTTCCAAGCCCTACTCAAAAAGCGAACTAAAACACTAGACTATCATGAGATGAAAACCGTTGACCGAGGCTCCGCTGGGACGCGGGGAAAGGCGCTTCGTGGCTGGTCTCGGGCTTTACGCAAGGATATGGAAATTGGAAGGAATATTGTCCGAAATTGAAACAGAAAAAGAATTGACAGTGGAAAAGTGGAATATAAATGTGAATTATGCTCTGTGGGATATGAGAACCCGGTACACTCCACTTGAGTTGATTACATGAAGGATACTCTCCTATATCTATATCTCTACATCTATATCATCCACAAGTCCTCTATAGAATCATAACTTAACTTTAACAGTCTACTGTCTACAAGTATATCAGCCCGGTGAATTGGGATACGTACCGGGCGTATCAATACGCTGATACCTGCCAGAAGTGGCCTAGTGCAAGTCTTGTTCCCCACAATCTCACACGTTCACTTGGGCCATGAAGTGCACTAGAACCGTTGTGTTTCGGCTCCGTGATGGTGGGATTCTTGTTCCGTGGTCTACTGGTCTACCTATACCCTCCAGCATTCTGTCTAGTCTGTATAGGTCGACTGTGTCTGATGTATGGCGGTAGCTCGCATTGTATAACTAGCAAATATATAACAAAGAGCATATAAAATGTATAAAAAAAAAGGAAATATGAAAATAAACAAAAAAGGTAAAAATAAATATAAAATAAATACAATACAATACCAGATCATAAATTACCCCTGAACCAGCCGTGTATCGAGTCTCTCTTCATTTATCTCCCGGCTCTCCCTCCTTTTTACCCACGGGGATCTCCAGATGTTTGGTCTTCACAATGTCGACCTTTGCTCCCTTCCCGGCCAAGGGCCAATGGGACGATGATATTGACCGTCCATCCACTCGTTCTTCTAATGAGCATCCAGAGCATGCGGCTCATATCCGGTCGAGGTCAACAGCTCATGTGAATAGTCCAAAGCGTCTATCAGTCTTCAGTGGCCGTTCGAGAAGCAACACCACCACCTCGACCTCGACAACCTCACGCCGATCCCCAGGTTCATCCATGACCTCGGAAGGGTCAATGTCTGATGAGCGAACCGTCTCATCGCTGGGCATGCGTGCTGATAAGGATAAGCCCTCACGGTCCTTACTGGCGCGCGGAAGTCGCATTCTGCGTCGTCAAGGTAGCAAGATCAACATCGTCGCCACGCTGGACGAGGAAGACGAGGTGGATCGGGAGAGGCCAAGGACTGAGAAAGAGCTGTTTGGCCGTCGAGCCCGCCATACGGACAATCGTAAGTGCCGAGCTATCAAGCACGTGGACTCAATTGACCCAATGCAGATGAACGTCTGAAGAGCATCATCTCAGACCCATTCGACTTCCACCACTTGACTCATACCAACCCGTCGCAATTCCAGTCTTTGGATCAAACCCGTGAGAACGATCTCGTCACCGAATTCTCCGCCATCCGTGCATCTCAACGGCCCCAGACCGATCTTAAAGGCATCCGCGCCGAGGACATTCATTTCCGCAATTTCTCCACGGAAGACCTGGCCGCGTTTGGAACTGCCACCACCGTGGATGTTCCCAGTGTCAGCCCACCGGCTTCTCCAGATGGGTACCGTGGCCATGCACGTAGAGAATCTCGTGTCACCGAGAACTTCTCCCGGCCCGTCTCTCGATATCCCCGTTCATGCCCTACCACTCCCCCGCCGCCTGCGGTTCCGGAGACTCCTCCACCTGAAACTGCCGAGCCGGCTCCTCGGGCCATTGATGAGATCCTAGGCTTGTCCACTGCCACGACATATCCGGAATGCTTGCAATCTGCACAGCCAACCCGGTTCTTCAGCCCCGAGCCCACGGATGATAGTGCCAGAACCTCGTCCATGAGCAGCCACTATGATCTGGAGGACGTCCAGGAAGAGGAGGAGGAAGGAACCCGGTACTGGGACAGCCCCGAGTCTAGTATGGGATGCCCTCCCTCCTGCTCAACTTCCCAGGCCAGTCCTCGGACCAAGACACGGTCTAGTGAGCCCAAGGCTCCACTGTCGATCAATGTGGCCGAGGAGTTGTCCAGAAAGTTCTCCGAGGCACTTGGTTCGCCAACTCTGCCCCAGCATCTTCAACACACTCCCGAAGCCCGGGTGCAGGTGACATCGCCCCCGACCTCCAGCGTGCGTCAATTCTCGTATGATGATGAAATGTACGACTCGTGGGATGCAGATATCGACTACTGCTATGAGCATGCAGCCGAATCCACCTCCAACTTTGATTGGTCACGCACATCCCTGGACGAAGCCCGTCCACAGATCGGTGTTGCCTGCAGTGACGGTCCCTGGCTGTCACAGAAGACCCGACACCTCCAGCCCAGCCCGTTGAGCACCTCAGCTTTACCCACGCCGGATCTAGATCCTAGTCCTGCCCAGTCGGTACCGCCGCACTCGGTCGCCACTCCTTGCGATTATGAACAAGAGTACATTGCTCGGCCCGGTGACTATTTCCCAGTCAGTTCCTCGATCCTGCCATCATCCCTTGGCAAACAACTCTCCCACGAACCGTTGTATGAGGAGTACCTGGCAACTGATGGAGAATCAGATCGTCACTATCCCTTCTCGGGCATGATGGGCAACCCCATCTCTCCCCGTAGCAGCTTCTCCCCCATCAGCAAGTGCAACTCCCAGGAGAGCTTGATGCTCTCCCGCGCGGCCTCCATCGCACGCAAGCACCGCTCCTCGGTGTCAACCACCAGTGTACCGGAGCTCATTCACAGCCTGTCCAGCAGCCGCGAGCTGATGCCGACTGACCGTTTGACTGCCGCCGAAGCCCTGGCCCGCCCTACTTCATCTTCCAACCATCGCCAAACTAAGAGTTTGGCCGAGGCGCACCTCCTCGGAAATGCCGAGTATGCAGACTCCATGTCTCCATCCGTTCACGACCGGACCAAATCCACCTCGGAGGTGGAATACCGATCGATCCCAGTCGCGGCCCCGCTGCCTCCTCTTCCTCCTAAAAACCCCAACCGAAAGAAGAGCAGAAATCCATCTTACTCTCTCTTCCCTACCACTGCTCACTAGAAGTGATGGTTTATCTCTCGCTCCTGTTTCTTGGTCATTTCACCCCTTGCGTCTTATCGAGGGTATCAACTCTCGCTTCCCCTGACCCTTTGTGGTCTACGAGTCACGATCCGTGTTTTCCTTGTGTTTTTAACCTGTCTGTTTAACCTGTCTGTGTGCCATATTTTCCGTTTGTTTTGGTTTCAGCTGTGGTCGTTCTTTCATCTGCATTTCTCGGCGATCAGCGATTTGGTGTCTTGGAGGGGATTCGGGAAAAGAGAGAAAAAGGAACTGGAGGGAATATGGATTGGGAACATTCGCTATAGATTTCCTTTTAGAGGAGCTTAAGCTCCAATGCAGCCATTGGCATTGACTTGCGGTGAACGTAAAGTAGTAGACACGTATAGCCCAAAGCGGTTAGCCCAGATGTCATCTGATCCCTATCTTATCTCACCTTTCTCTTCCTCAACTTCAACTCAACTGAACAATCATGTCGTCTTCGCAGGAGCTGGTCAAGCGCCCAGATGGCCAGCTCATGCCACCTCCTCCACCTCCGAAACGGATTAAACGCCCCGCGACTGTCCTCGACGAAGATGTCTACACCAGTACACTATCCCACATCATCGCTCGCGACTTCTTCCCAGGATTACTCGAAACCCAAAGCAAGCAAGAGTACCTGGATGCGCTAGAATCAAAAGATAAAGCATGGATCGCAAGCTCGAAGAAGAAGTTGGCAGATGTTATGCGCACGCCCACACCAGGCTCAAACGCAAGGAGAAAGACGGACTCCGCGGGCACGCCACAGCATTTCCCATCCAGTCGACCTGATGAAACACCCCATGGCTGGGGAGGCGATACACCCATGTCTGTCGTGTCGACATCAACAGCAGCGACAGATGCTCAGGAGCAAAACGTCCCCGACGTATCGAACATAGGCCTCCTCGGCTTCCAGGCAAAATACACCAGCGAAGATAACGAGTCCTTTAACAAAGTTATCGACAAGCAAAATATCAAACGCAGAGAAAAATACCCCTGGCTCTGGACCGGCAACAAAGTCCCCTCGGCTCGCCAAATCGCCCACCACAACCAAGAAACAAAGCGCATCACAGCACAAGGCGGGAATCCCGAAACGGCCCTGATCAAGCAAGACGGCCCGGCCATAAAAACAGACTTAGATGCTCGCCCTGCGAAACCAGACTCGTGGAAGACCCGCCCGGATAATACCCTCATGTTCCTCCCCTCGTCGGTAGAGGATACACACGAAACCCTCCCCCAGAAGGCAGAACTTTCGTCCCGCGCCGGCCCAAAACGAACCCTCTATCAAAACACAAGGCTTCTAGACGCCGAAGCCGCAGCTGCAGCAGACTCAATCCCACAATCCCCTTCTCTCTCCGTAATCCAAGACGCCATAGCCGGCCGACCCCGCCTGAATGAATCGGAAGCCATGTCCACGGCAGGAGGCGAAACACCCCGTGTAAACGGCTATGCCTTCGTCGATGAAGACGAGCCCGAACCTGAACCATTCAGCTACAACCCCGGATCGTCGGACTACGAAGCAGACTGGCGCCTCCTAGGTCAAGCAGATAAAACACCAAACCCATTCCAACTATCCGAAACTGGTAAACGCGAAGCCCTCCATCATCGCATGGTCGATCGTGTTGCGCGCAATAAACGCGCCGAGAAGGCTGCGCGGATGACCAAAACGCCTGTTTCGAATACGCCGCGCTTCGCTAGTAGTCCCATGTTGGGTTCTGGGAGGACTCCTGGCTCTGTTACTTCTGCTTCTACTTCTAATGGAACTGGGAAGCAGGGGAAGATGCTTACGCCTGCGGCGCATCGGTTGTTGAATCAGGTTGGGGGAACACCGAGGTTTGGATCCTCTGGGAATCGGTCTAGGAGGTCTGGGCTTGGGAATGTTTGGTCGCCGAAGTTGACGCCGAAGAAAAAGTGATTTGGTTCTTTGATTCTTGTTTCTTGCATTATACCATGGGAGTTTATTACGGCGTTATCTTTCTGAGTTACCTCACAGATTACCTTTATAAGGCTGTATCATTGCTATATGTATTACTTTACACAGAACTTAAATTAAGCACAAATTAGACTTGAACAGCTACCTTGGAAAGGGTGTAAGTAGTATAAAGTCAAGTTAAGTATGACGCCCAGTACAGTATAAACATCGGAACGAACAGGAAACGGGGATTATCCGCCCGAGAAGTTCTTACCCGGCCCCGAGAATCGGCTTCATATTTAACTTCAACTTCACTTTATCCAGATCTTTCCTGAAACACAAGAAAAAGCAAAGCGGTACTGTCTATTCTTCGAATATTTTGAATGGCATGGTTCTTGACTCTGGACTTGTGGTTTGTCGGATTCAATATGATATCCAATGAGGATTCGATGCTAATGATTTGAGAGATTGGATCAATTGCTCTTTACATGATCTACTCTTCTATGCTGTGATATCTATATCCAATTCTATTTTGACCATATATCAAAAAATGAGCATCGATACACAACCTCAGGTTGTCTCACCGGCTTCCGCTTCAACATCAACCTCCCTCACTACTCCTATCACCAAATCAGGAGATACCTCTAAAGAAAAATATCCAGACTCAGAGACACAAGTAATATCACCAACCCCAACCACAGAGCAAGACAAAGAAAAGGCAACAGAAGACCGCAAACCATCAGCCTACACCCCAACAACCCTTCTAACAACTCTCCTCTCCCCATTCACCTTCTCATCAACACCCTCATCCTCACCCTCGCCTGCACCTCCACCACCAGAACCATATTATACCCCAGCAGAAACCCCCCTCTTCAAAACCCTCCAAAAAAGCCGCCTCACGCGCACACGCGAGAAACAACTCCTCCGCGCTGCAGAGCGTGACTATAATGATCCGCCTCCGCCGCCTGGGCTCGGTGATTGTTGTGGGAGTTCTTGTGATCCTTGTGTGAGGGATTTGTGGGGGGAGGAGATTGGGGTTTGGAGGGGGAGGTGGGGGGATCGGGGTGTTGAAAGTGATGAGAAGGAGAAGGGGGCAGGAGATAAGAATGGGAATAGGAAAGGAAATGATGTGAAGGTTAAAGTGAATGGAAATGGGAATAAGGGGAGGAAGGATTTGGAGTGGTGATTTGGTTCTTTTGTTTATATTGGCGTTAACGTTAGATCTTGTTGTACAGTTATTATGTTTTACACTGGAGTATGGATGGCACTATCATGTCTGGCTGTCTACTTTATCTTATACCACTGGAGGTTATTTTATATCTTGTCATCGGTATCTTGTTATATCTACATAGCTCCATAATAGACATTAAACAACTAGATTAATGGCAAGACATAAAGAATGTCATGCTGGATAGCCAGATGGATTTTAGACGTTATTTAGGAGGTAAATCTATCGTGCAAAAAGTTACGGACACCTTCTTCCTGCCTCATTCAGTCGTTGTCGCTTCAACAGGGCTTTATCCGACGTGCGTTCCTGATTCCCGTCACGAATAATTTCATGCTCTCGGGCCTACTTACCAGCTGCATCCCAAGTCCGGGATCGTACTGTAGGTTTGCATGCGTCGATATTACACAGCTCAACGCTACCAAAAAGGTCAGAATCATCCGAGAGCGGCCACTCGGGAGACATTGTGGGAATCCAACACAGACACGATGCATGCTTCTTGGATAAAGGGAAGATTGAGTGGCTGCTGCTCTACCTCGAGCAGAGAAACTTTGTAAGTGCCATTTTTTATGACTGACAAAGAGTACAATGTTAGTATAATTGCTTGAGATGGGGCAAAGAGCCGAGAGTCAGATCTCACTGTCGCTTTCCCCCCGTCCCTCAAGAACATACTCTTCCCCGACTTTACGAGCGATGTCCCCCGTTCGAAAGAATCCGTCTTCGGTGAACGCAGCTTGGGTTGCAGCCTCAGTACGAGGTCACTCCTGTCACTGTATAAAAACGGCTGTAATGTATTGTGTTTAATATAAGGTATATCTCCTGGCCAGTAAGCGGACGGGGTACTAGTAGCCCCCTTGCTTCATTTCATATGTACGATGCTGATTGAAGGCGTAAATGCGCCGTACGATTATTCCACGCGAAACATAAATTGATTTAGCATATTCTGGTTTCCTTGCAAGCACTTCACACCAGGCTATCAGTGTACGTGACCGATGTTATCAACCTGCTAGACTTGCGATAATTTATCTCGCTTTAGGTCAAATCCTAGCACCCCTTAAGATAGTACGGTGGCTAATGGTTCCTTATACTAGATTCCATCGTTTTGCGGTCAATGTCATTGTCTTGTTAAGACCATGCAATACCCCAATTATCTCGTCCTCCTTGTTGGAGTTGCGGTATCACTAGTCATTCATAATGCGTATAGACTCATCCAACGCAATCTCACTCAACGCCGTTTTATAAGCCTTCATGGCTGTCAACCAGCGGCAAAGGTTCCCTCAAAGGGCATGTTCAGCAACCTTAGGCGAATTCTCTCCAACATTCGAACGGCCAAACAACACCGAATCCTTGAAACAAACCACAGTACCTTCCAGCGATTCGGCAACACAGTAGCTGACAAACGACTTGGACGCTCGGTCATCATCACCTGCGAGCCTGAGAATGTGAAGGCCATCGTTTCGCAACAGTTTCAGGACTTCACAGTTGGACATCGTATTCACGCACAAGGGCCACAGTTGACCTACAAGAGCTGTTCTTCTCGTATACCTTGGAGTCTGCAACGGAGTTCTTGTTCGGACATTCCCTTCATACACTGAGAAGATCACACCCTGATAGCGATTCCGGTTTTGAGGTTGCGAAGGCGTTCAACTATGCCATGGAGGCAATTACCATGCGGTCCCGGTTGGGGTTCCCTGCGCGTCCTCCATTTTGACCGCAAAGCAACGCAAAGCTTTAAGATCTGTCATCAGTTTGCCGAGAGGATCATTGATGATGCAGTGCAACGGAGAGACGCAGATCCCATTGCTACCGGTGACTTTGGATAGAAACAAAAGTATCGGGTCGTCAACGAGCGGGTGGCCAGACCAACGACAGGCGCCAAATCCGGGACGAGCTAATCAATGGCCTAATTGCCGGTAGAGATACCACCGCCGGTCTCCTGAGCAACCTATTTTTCTTGCTGGCCAAACACCAAGAGGCATGGACAAGACTGCAGGATGAGGTCAACAGTGCGCTCAATGGCCGTCTTCCCAACTATGAAGATCTGCGCCAGATGAAATATCTCCGATATTGCGTGAACGAGGGTCCGTTTTTGCTCCCTTAGACCCAGGAACTACACGTATAAAGATTAACATCTCACGATAGCCCTCCGACTATATCCCGTGGTGCCAATTAATGCCAGGCTCGCAAAAAACAATACATGCCTCCCCGTCGGCGGTGGACCTGATGCACAATCACCGGTATTTGTTCCGAAAGACACCATGGTCATATACAGCGTGTATTCAATTCACCGACGAGAGGATCTATACGGACCCAATTCCAATGAATTCTGGCCTGAACGGTGGGACTCCATTCGGCCGGGATGGGGCTATCTTCCTTTCAATGGTGGTCCACGAATCTGTCTGGGCCAGCAGTATGCTTTGGCAGAGGCTGGATACGTGACCGTCCGGCTGGCGCAGCGATTCCGTAAGCTCGAGAGTCGTGATCCGGGGGAGTGGCAAGAGAGCCTTTCGTTGACGTTAAGATCTCGAAATGGGACCAAGGTGGGTCTAGCGTCGACTTGACAGATAGATGGGGTTTCGCAGCTGTTGTAGTGAGTTCATGAGTGTGTATCTACAGAGAGAAGATCAGTGATTCTTTCAAGTTTACGGAATGAATACCTCATGTACGCTTCATTGGATCTAGAATCGTCATCTTTCATTCAAGCGGATGCACACCAAAGTCACATCCACATATGAATGCCAGACCCAGGTCGAAGTCGCACAAGCTCAGGATGGGAACAAGGAAGTAGATTAGGGTGCTCGTAGATTTTTGCTCGATAGGCTAGAGCCCTTTTATATCAGTACTAGCTTCCCTACCCCTGCGCCGGCGCTTTCTGTTTCCCGGATATGAGTAACCCCGAACTGCGATCTATCCGGAGGCTCTTGAGCGTCTCAGGTCTGGCCAAAAACTGCTGGACGTGGATTGTGCCCTCGGGCAAGAACTGGAAGGCCATCATTCTGATGGTGGTATATAGGTCTTGGACGGCGTACATAATATAGGTTAGACAAACAGCAGCGTGTGCCCACTAAGGGTATACGAAGATAACAACCCTGAAGAGAAACAATAGACAATTGATCCATGTTATCCAAATACAATTAATCGTAAAAAGAAAGAAATCAAACGGGAAAATAAAAAGAACTGACAAAAAAGAAATGCTCACATGCGGATTTGAACCGCAGACCTCGTGATTGACCGAGGGTGGATACTCTTACTAGTCACGCGCTCTACCAACTGAGCTATGCGAGCTATTGTTATAGAGTTGCGTATGAAAGAGGATTATAGAGAAGAGTTTTCTATAACCAAACAGACACAACACAGCCCAAATACATTCAGTCCTGTAAGAATAGTTGACCAAATCACCAGTGTCATTCCTATATACACTATAACAAATACATAACACCCATAACAACCAAACTAAACAATCCAACCCAACCAGCCCCACCAGCCCCAAGTCTCACCCCAAGACTCAAATGATAAGCCGCACCAAGATACGAACAAGTAATATCACCATCGGAATTGCGATACCCATAAGAAGCATTCAACCACCGCCCACTGGGACACTTGAACCCAAGTTTAGAAGGACAATCCTTAACAAGCGTCGAGCAGATATCTTCACACGGCAGGATCTCTTTATAAGGACCTGGTTTGATCATTGTATCTATGATTGTGTTTCTGGACGTGTTGGATGCAACGTGTTGTCTGTATGGACTATCCGCTGGTAGGGAAGACCCATTGATAAAATCCTGGCCTGCGTTGCGGACGGCTAGGTAGGAGGCGTTGTTGTTAAAGTCTGCGCAGCGGGGAATTGATACGCTGCAGAGCCATTGCTTGTAGGCTGTTGCGCAGTCGTCGCAGTCGACGGCGAGAGAGAACATGCTTTCTTGGTCTGTTTTGCATTGGACCTGTTGGAGGCTGTAGCTGAAGTTTTGGTAGTAGTTTGCTGCGTAGGTGTCGTAGATTTCGCGCAGTTTGGCGACGCTTAGTTTGGGGTTTGAGGGGACGGCGTACGCTACTTCTGAGCAGAAGGTTAGGTTGAAGAGGACAGCGCAGTTGTCATCTGATTGTGTTAGCTGAGATACTTCATTTTTGTTTGGAGCGAGTCTCTTACCTGCTTTGGTTGTGAAATTCATTGCTTTCCACACCTGCCCTCCGCCGCCGACAATGCCATTTCCTGACGTGGTGGAGTTGCCCACCATTGCTAGAATGCCATTATAAGACGAGCTCTGGTTCAGTCCAGTAATGTAGAACTGCTCTTTCGGTCTATTTCCAAGTCCACGGCTAGTCATGCCAACCTCAACCGACTTGCTGATCCGTCCGACCTGCGAAAGCGCATCAAGTGCACAGAATGATCGCTCCAAGCCTACCAAGGCTGTGTTGTTGATGTTATGCGCAAACATGGTATATGGAGGCGTCATATTCATCCATTGCTGATAATTCTCCGAGCCTTTCTCAGCCTGTGTCAGGTTATTGGTCACCAGTAACGCGGCAGACATATCTGCGTCGACAAAGTATAGGAAAGGGTCGTCGTCCACGACATTGTGGAAATATGTATCGATCGAGGCTGCAAGCTGGTATGTATAGCTTCCCGAGTAATCAGTCGAGTTGGGCGCAGCAACACCAATGAAGACGTCGCTATCTGTGTCTTTCTCAATCCCCACGTACCCTCCCACAGCCGTGTATACATCTTGATCCGAGTCATCATGGCCCGGTCCTGGCTCCTGTAGCGTCTGCGACTTGGAGACGTACACCTGCAACTGCGGGAATCCATCCTCAGTATTCGTTTTGTTGGCATGGGGCTTGCTGCACGTCGTAAGCGACAGGTACACCGTTGTCGATCGCTTCTCAAGGCCATCTCGTTTCCGTAACTCGTCCTTTGTGTCATCATCATCGGTGGCATTCACATATACAGGAAGTCCTATGCCCTTGCTGGCGTGTTTGCCATTCACCACGGTCGAAGGCAGGTAGAACCACTGCACATCACCGATCTCGAGCGAGGTATTCACGAATTGATTGTTCCCCAACGATTTCGCGGCATTCGGGTATCGGCGCACCAAATCGAGGCCATTGGACTCCCCGTCTTCTTCTACACTGTCTCGGATCTCCAATCCATTGAACGAGTCAAGCGCAAGTGGGAGTCCAGCCCCGTCGCTCACGATCGCTCCTCGGAGGTTCGGATCGTTTTCGGCATTGAGGTCATTAGGATTATCGGTGTATGCAAAGACTGTCGAATCGCAGACTATGAATAATAAGAGGAGCGCGCTAATTATTGCAGTTAGATAGCACTGCAGCGCGTTGTCTTGTCGTCCCATGGAATGACCGAGGGGTGGGTGTCGCACGGTGCATGGGTGAGTTCAGGAGGAGAAGGATGTCACAGAGAAGCGGTGTTATACGCCTGTAGACCTCCAAGAGGCTAAACTAACGGCATGTAGTCGAGTGTTTGGGGAGAGTTGGCTATCGGAAAATGTCCTTATCGATATTCTGCCATGTTTACCGCTCGGGGTATTTATAGCCTCAACTTCAATTTATGAAACTCTCATATGATGGTTATAAGTTATTTAAGTGCCTAATTGTTAATCTGGGTATGTTGGCTTTCTTCACTTGGGGCATGTTCGGCCCTTCATATTCTGCGGGTGAGAAGCCGCGCGTAAGTAGTAAGTATCTAGTACTTCAGCGCATGTTTACTCACCGTATGTTATTTGAATGACTAACGTTATTCTACCAAACTCATGATTTGAACAAGCTTGGAAATCATTCCTTCAAATGATAGTACCTGGATCTAGTATCATACTCCACCGAAACCTCATCACCCAATGCCTCAACCTAAAGCAACTTGCAGTATGATAACCTAGCTTGCCAGACTAAAACCATCTGTACATACATATACAAGAGAAAGGGGATCAGATCTATCAGATCTATCAAGCCAAGTCACGAGACATCTACATCGCGAAAGCAAAAAAGAAAAAGACAAGTCACCTAGGTAGATTGATAGAATGAAATGTGTTATATAAGAAGAAGAATGTGTGTGCATGATGGCTGGGCAAAAAAGTAGTAGTCACACCAAATAGCCAACTTCCCTGTAACGGGACGGTGTAATCTGGCGACGCCATCCTGGGGTGGAGATGTCTCTGCAGAATTGCTTCCCTCAAGGTTCATCTCCATTGCTTAGCGGCCTCCAGCGTCGTGGATTACTCGCACGAGTGAAAATGCCGACCCCGGGATTCGTACCAGGCACCAGTACGAGCTGAGTTTCCTCTAAGCAAGGTTACTGGCTTGGCGGTGAGCCTCCCACTAGGTTATCCATGACAGATTACCAATTTTGTCCTTTTCTATCACTATAGCCTGCATTTAAAATTTATAATCTACAAATTATATCCATACTTTCTTTTCTCTCTCCTCCCACACCTCCCACTCTCCGATGGAGCCCCGTCGCCTCCTCTTCATCGCCTCCATCGGCAACAAAGCCCCCTACAGACAAACCCGCCATAGCGCCGGCCACCTCCTCCTAGACGCAGTAGCACCCCTCCTCCCAACAACCCTCCCCAACACAGGCGCCTTCCACGAAACATGGTACAGCCCAACCTACATGAACGTAACCGGGCCGAAACTCGTGCGCCAACTTGAGAAATGGGCAGTTTCCCAAAACGAGATGCTCCGAGGGAATGGAATCTCTCCAACTTCTACCTCTACAACCAGCGCAAACACATCCACCTTCCCCACAACGCTTGTTATTCTCCACGACGAACTCGAATCACCACTCGGTAAAGTCCGCGTTAAACGCGGTGGACCTGAGTCTGCCAGTTTGCGCGGACATCGTGGGTTGATTAGTATCTGCGAGACGTTGCGCGGGAAGGGATTGTACCCTACGCGGAGAGGTGCGAAGCTTGATTTGTCGATTTTGAGGATTGGGGTTGGGATTGGGAGGCCCGATAGTCGGGACAAGGGTGCTGTGTCGGATTATGTTCTTTCGAATGTGACTCCGACGGAATTGGCGGCTTATCATCGGGCTGCGGAGCCTGTTGTGAAGGTTCTGGCTGAGGAGCTTTATCGAGTTGAGTCTTGATGAAGAGTCTGTCTGTCTTGTCTATATTGAGGACTGGGCTGGGTAAATGTATGATATGTTGGATATTGTGATACCCTTTGTGATTATACCTTTGTGATTATATGTTGCATTTGCATGCATTGCATTGACTTGAATAGAGTGAAGTATAGACTCCTATCAAGCATGAACACGTAAACAGGGACAAGAAATAAGGGCGACAAAGGCGAATAACAATCCCGTAATAAGGCATTATGCTCATAAACTCCAAACCAAGACCCTAAACAGTCCCAGCAATGCTCAAATCCCGAATCTCCTGCAAAACCTCCTCAACCCGATTATCCAGATCACCCTTGGCATATTGATCGCGCGTCTCAGCGTCGAGATACTGCTGCACCTGTGCCATGCGCGAGTACGCCTCGGCACAGAAACGCAACTGGATCTTAACGAGGGCTTCGAAACTGGGGTCGAGGTAGGGAACACGAAGGTCGATCAGCTGCGGGAGTTCGTTAAAGAGCTGCTCGTTCAGCTGTTCGTAGGCCTGCTTGGCCATTTCGGCTTCGCGCTCGGTCCGCGGCAGCTTGGTCACGTCCTTGTCGGGCTTTTCGGCGAGCTTCTTGACCTTGGCGCGCATGGCGTCATAGTCTAGCAGCTTGTGGTTGCGTTTCTTTATGCATTCGTTGACGTCGGGGAAGTAGGCGCAGAATCGAGAGATAGGGTCGAGGACAGTGGTTCTATTCGTGTCAGTGATATGCTGGACAGTTATGGTGACTGATCCTACCGGTATGGTCCATCCAAAGCCTTGATGGTCTCAGCGTCGAGGTCCTCGACGGCTTGCTTGTAGCTCCGGCTCACGCCGTCTCTTGTGCCTGCGTCGCCGTAGAATGCATCGATGGTCTCTGCAATGCGCATTTGAGACGCCGTCATGGCTGCGAGAGTCAGCACCTGCCAATCCCACCCATATCAGATCACAACCCACCTCGTAGTGAGTCCAGATATCCTTTAGCTTCCTTCTGCAACCGATTCGCCGCAGTCTCCATAGTCCGGTATCGTCTAAACGACCGAGTCAGTCCCATTCACATAGCCAACAAGACAGCGACATACCGTTCCTCAATCTCATAGTCGCGATCATTCGTCCTCTCAACATGCCCTATCCAATTCCCAGTCAGCGCCTGCTTTCTTGACCACAGACCCTGACGGGCAGATATCGTCGATCGGCCACTCCATTGCGGGGTAAAATTAGACCCATCACTCACCCGTCTTCATCATCACCTGTGTCGTCGCACGGTTGACATTCTTCTTGAACCCTATCCAGTTCTATTAGATCGTGCCAGTGTCGGAGAATGACTCCGGTGGGGGTGTGGTGGCGTACCTGCCCAAGACATGGCAGCGGTGGTTGGAGGATGGAACTGTCAATGTGAAGTAGAGCAGAGTAGGCTTGTATGGCGTGTGTAGATGGTAATAGTGAGGCAGATGAACCGGGACAAGTATCGCAAAGTACTGTTGAGTACCTGGTCAGAGCCAAGATGGCTTTCTGCCTTGCGATGTGGCTTGGCTCCGTGGCTGAGTGCTTATGTAAAGTGACGTAACCACATCCGGTAGGGCTACAGGGCTATGAAGTTGCACTCGACAGTGTCTACAGTGTAGGTGTTCATGATTTTGCAGGATTTGCAGGCTATTCGTGACGTTGCCCTACTTTCAATACAATACCTCTTACTATACCCAATCTAAGCAGTCTGATCTATTATCTACTTGTCATCTCACTAAAACGCATTAATCTACAACGTATACAATAAATTATAAGCTTCATATATCACGTTCATATGAGGTTTTCACCAAACTGAGTGGAAATCAGGATCAGACACCAATGGCAACAAGTCCGGAGTGCGACACGCGTAGTGACTCACAAACACACCCTGGGCCGAAGCCGGTCTACCGATATATAAAGGGATGTAACTCCCGAGTATATAGACAAATATTCAATTCTCAAACAGATATCTACAAGACACTCCCCTCAAGGTAACATACTCCCTATCCATGGTTCAACCTACACCACAACAACGGATACTCATCGACAACATAAAGGCCATAAACAAAGTACTGTATCAGAATGTCCATCGACGACACCTCCTTCAGAACAGAACTCCGCACCACAAAAGTACTGGAAGGACCATTCCCAGACCTAAGCTTCGACACATTCCCCCCAACCCCACAAGATGCCTTCAAGAACTGGTTCCACGAAGCGGTAGCGGCAGGCGTGCGCGAACCACACGCAATGACAGTCTCAACAGTCGACAAAGAAGGATGCCCAGACGCGCGTGTCTTAATCCTCAAGAACGTCGATAGTCGCGGCTGGCATTTCGCCGTGAAGGCTGATAGCCCTAAAGGCAAACAGTTGGCTGGCAATGGGTCGGCTGCATTGACGTTCTACTGGCCTTTGCTCGCTAGACAGGTTCGGGTGAAGGGGCGGGCTGTTGCGTTGCCTGGTGAGGAGAGTGCCATGGATTATGCGGCTAGACCTGTTGCTTCGAAGGTTAGTGCTATTGCGTCAGAGCAGAGTGAGATTCTTGTTGATCGGCGGGATTTGGAGAGGAAGTTAGTTGCTACTAAGGAGGCTTTGAGGAGGGACTCTATGGCTGGGGTTGAGAAGTGGAGGGTTTATGCTGTTGATGCTCATGCTGTTGAGTTTTGGCAGGGGCATGCTAGTCGGCTTCATCAGCGGTTGCAGTATGTTTGGAGTAAGGATGATTGTAAATGGGTGAAGCAGTTGCTTTGGCCTTGATTAGTTCTGTAATATGGGGTTGTGAGTAGGTAGGATGGGAATGAGAATAAAGATTGGAATATTCCTTGCAAGACTTGTTTCCCGAAGTACTCTACTGATATTGAGATAGAAGTCACACGGCTATAGTATATCAGCGTTTGAACTAAGAAACGCAAATACACAACCAATTTCTTCCGTCATTTCCATAGATATCACTCAACTTATATCCGAAAATACCCTAGTGTAGACAGCCCACCCAAGCATCTAATATACATTAGATACAATACACCGGCATACACAACCCCCATCCGAACCCGTATCAAAAACTCACCAAATATCATCCGACACCGCCCCTCAAAAAGCGACGGCGACAACCAGAATAGGAAAGTCCAAAACAGAAGCCACAACCTCAAGCCCCAACAGCCCCATAGGGCAGAGAAAAATTCGCCACAAAAACCCGCGGAACCCGAAGACGAAGGACACCATTCTGCGTTGTCCAAGCTGCATATGCAGACATATTGCAGATATCCACTTTGCCCAGACTGA